TTTTTATGGTGGGGGAGTGAGAGGGAGGGGGGGGAAGGGAGGGAGGAAGAAGGAGAGGAAGAAAGAGAGAAGGAAGGGAAGGAAGGAAGGAAGGAAGGAAGGAAATACACATTTCTTTGGAGAACAGCCTCCTCAGAGTTCATGCATCATGTTAAACTATAGTTCCTTTCAAGCATGATCCGCTATACAGACTACAGAGACCTCTGCATTTACACACAGTGCAAAAGTATAAATCATGGTTTACAAACCAACATGGATTTGTTCACGCACTGCACTAATTACGGTTAGGTCCAATGTGTGCAAACCCAGTTGCCGAGGCATACATTTCCTCAGGCTTCCCTGAGAAATCAACTCTCGAGTCCTGTATTCCAGCAAAAGTTCCACAGACACCACCCAGCTGGAGAAAGTGCTTTATTGCCGACAAAACGGAAGCAATATATACGTGGGTCAGCCTACTGCAGAAAGCAGAGATCGTGCCATATGTAAACATCTGCTCCAGGATTTAAAGCCTAAACCTTTAAGCCTAGTCTAAACTGATTTGGGACTAGTATATTCTTCAGTGTTTGCTGACTCAGTTCTTTTTACACCTCTTACTGCTGTGAGCATTATTGCTGTTCTTAAACTGTATTTGATTTTATCGTTTTATGTAGACTCTCTGATGATCCTTTGCTGATACATGAGTGATTTTTCTTTTAAAAATATGAAATAAAGAAACTCTCACCCACTGCACAATCTATATCAATATAGCTGTTTCCCTATGTCAAGTTTTCCATTTTTCAGGAGACAAATTGCTCTCTCTATAGGGTTCTTTTGCTTTGCCACCAAAAACAAAATTCACCCGGGTCTGTACATTTCTAAATTTTGTTTAATAAAATTAAGTAATTTCCACCACAATCCTCCTGTAATCTCTATGTGTTTGCAGTTTTTTTTCCCAGCTAGAGTCCCTGTTTATGAAAAAATACACTCATAGCATAATCAGAAACCATATGTTTCTTCTTAAATTCCTGCTCGACAAATGACCTGAAAATTGCTGTTATAGGAACTTCTAAAACATATGGCTACAGAAGGGGAAATTTAAGTTCTTGCGCTGGGCCCAAACACTTTCCAATATCAACAAGAGATGTCATGCCAGTCCAGTGAGACTCTTGAAAGATTCCAGTCGAAACTGATACCAAGCAACCAGATTACGTGGGAGGACACAGCAGCGTAAATTGACAGACATTACAGCAAATTTCAAGTGTAAATGATGAGTGTGTGTGTGTGTGTGTGTGTGTGTGTGGAGAGAGAGAGAGGATTCCTGCCACATCCTTTTCACTTCATTTGTCAATGATGCTGGACAAAGAACAAGGGTCAAGTTCTTACATAAGAAGATAAAAAATGTGTGGAATGGCTATTAGTTATGTTGTCGTACAGCACGTTTAATTATTAGAGGAAGAAAAAATATTTGATGGGCATCCTAAGGCTGGATGACATAGTCCACTGCCACCTGGTGGACTACGGCTCTCAAAATCTCTACCGGCTGGACTACTACTGACGGTGAAACAGATTTGAGAAGTCTGGAGACAGCTTGGCTCAAGAAGGTTGATATGAGCACCATTCGCATATTCAAGACTAACACATACTAAGCAATGGTTTTTCACCCATACTTTATGGGAAAAAAATCGCAATTAGCAAAGTTCATACAATACCTTCCAACCTGGTTTCAACATCACAAAGCTGGGTTTACCCAACACGTTTAAGCCAAGCCAAAATAAATTATGGCTTAGTAGGAACTGAGTTCAATGGACCAACATTCTTCAGGAGCAATTTAAGGCAGCAATGTTGCCAGTTCTGGGGTTAGTGGAGGCAAGGATCCAGATGGCCTCCAGAGGGCAGCAGAGAGATACAAACCACTCTAACCCTTTGCTGCCATCTAGTGGGCATGCTGGGTTATGCAGCAATAATTAGTCCAGAGCTATTCATGTAGTGTAAAGAGGATGGCAAGAGGGGAGATCTGTTCCCAAAGCAAAGAGGGGTAAAGCATTGCTTAAGTCTAAACAGTGAAATATCTCAAACACCTCCATAATTCAAATTAGTATAAAAGGGGGAGGAGGTAAACCATAATCAGACTTGCAAGATTCTGTTACTATAGCCAATTTTAATAGAGATAGCTTTAGTCTTTATAGGAAGGTCTGATCTATATCTTGGGGCTAATGATCTATCACAACATTCTTTTTTCCTAGATGTTGCTGGAATTTTGAACTTGATGCAGCCATGAACAATTCTGATCCCACAGACTCAATTACATCTGCATTTATCTACCTACCTATCTAGCTAGCTAGCTATCATTTCATTTTTATTGGAAAAAAAACAACTGCAACAAATGGTATTTGTATTAGCAATTTTGCCTGAAAACAAGAATTTTGCAGGAAAACTGTAGGGAGTAGAACTGCTTGATTAGTCTAAAGATATTGCTCTACTGCTGCCTCTTTACAAACATGGAAGAGATTTGGAGCATATTCCTGTAGGAACAAACATGCAAGACTCTTCCATGCAGATACTACTAAATAGCAAAGTTGAATGGAGTTGGTCAATCTGGCCAAAAGAGGCTCATCAAAAAAAGAGTATGCATTTTAAAGGTGGCGACTTAAATAAATTAGCTATACCGCGCCACCCCACCCCAAAAATGGTAAAGATAAAGTCTCCCTGAGTCAAACTCAGCACCTGGTGACAACATGAACATGTCCGTGATGTTTCTTGGCCACAGCATGGAAGGGGTCTTCCGCTGCCTTCTTCTGAAATGTTTCTTCGAGTTCCCATGATCCAGCATTACATCCAAACCCAGGCAGGGAATTAACTGAGTTAACTTTTCCTTCCAGCCTCTGGGCACAGAGCTCGTTGGCAAAAAGCCTGGAGCTTGGAGCTGAGTTGGGGCACGAATGGACTGAGGAACCACAACCTTCGCCCATCCCATATTAGTCCCTCTTGCCCTAATCAGGCTACTTCACTGGGTCATTTTGTTAGGAACTGGCTGGCAGTCCGACAACACAAAACGGACCAAGAGCTTGTCCAAAGGGGAGATGAACCAGGCAACCGAGCCCAGACGTGGGATGACTTCCCAAATCCATGATTAACGCTAAACCAGGCATAACAGATTGTGCAAAGACGCTTTCTAATCCAGTCCCCTGCTCAAAGCAAATTTAAAAGGCCTCCCGGAAAAGGGAAAAAATACGGATCTCACCAGGATGTACCAAAGCCCCCGTACCAGAGACGATGCCTCTTGATAAGGACAGTCGGAACATAGAGAAAACCGGTTTCCTAGGCAGATAACAGAAACACAAGTGGCTTTACACACTATTAAGCATAAACAACTTCTAATTGAAGGCGAGCAGATGAGCAGTTTTGCTATCCCCCCAAACCTTTTGTCTAATATAATTGATATATTCTCTGTATTGTAGTTATACTGAAACGTTATACATCTAATACTGAAAGTACATGTGATAACAGAAGTTCCTTGTAGTCCACAGCTCCCTCCTTACTTGGGTGACCTTGAACCATTCTACAACTCTTGTCACCCACAAGGGCCTGGCTGACCGTGGTGGGAGCTGTAATCCAAAGCATCTGGGGAGCACCAGGTTAGGAAAGACTCCTGCTCTAATTCCCAAAATGCAGCACTTGCTTTCTTAATATGAAAAACAACAATGGCCAAGATAAACAGAGGGCTGGAAAAGAGTCGATGCTCACGATGTGTTCCTCCTGAAGCCTCCATAAAGGCAGAAGTATTGCCCTTATCAGAGCAAACAGTGATATCTTGCAAGCTGCCCTGGAATTTCCAATATTAGACTACCTGTAAACCAAGAGAAACATTTTCTCATAGCTCAGGAATGACATTAGCATAGCATTGCTGCATTTGATAAGGAATGTAGCTTGTCGGAATTTGGCCTAATCATATGTAGGGAGGGAAGAGGGCAACTGCATGAAAAGAACTCGAGTTATCCTTTCAATCATTCATATTTTTAAACCATCATCCACTAGTCCGCCACTAAATCAAACAAAGTCTTAGGCATGCATTAAAAAAAAAAAATGGAAGCCAAGGCTAAGCAGTGTGTTGAGGAGGGGAGCAGAGTTGGGTTTCCATATAAATGTGAATATTGGGCTTCCCAAAGCTTCTGTACTGATTTCTGCCTTCGTACTCGATAGGAATTGCAATTCTGTGCTTAGGACTCAAAGAACAGAAAGAAGTGTTTGGGCTAATATATCTGGTGGATATATCTTTGAAAGCAAAATCTTTTCTCTAAGAAAGATGGTAAGTAGTTCCCATGTTTGCCCAAACTGGTAATTTCTGCTAGAATGATCTCCATGCAAGAAAAACATTTTGTTTTGTGTTTTGTAAGGGGTCCACCCTCAACCAGAGCATCTCTTATATGTCTGCTGCTTGGTGTTTGTAAAGTAAATCAGATATTGAAGTCATTAAAAGGATGGCATAAATTCTTTCAAAGCCATTATTTATTAAAATTTTATTGTGTGGAATATTTCTTTTTATCTTGGCTTCATGCATTGTGTATGTCTGTGATGGAATTAATTATATCTTCTGGATTGATTCCCTCCCAAGTACTTTTTGTCTACTGTTTTAATGGGTTTAATTTAAGAATTTGTCTAGCTTCCTTTCCTTTTCTTAAAACATAAACTGGATCTTGACTATGGCAATCATGCTTTAATCCCATTAAAATCCACAGGGGCAATTATTACCACTGAAGTTAGTCTTGTTCAGTTTATGCAACGGTCAAGCAAACAGTATTTGGGTTCAAAGAATAAACGCCCATCAGATTAAGATAACTTGTATATGCCCTACATCTTAAAACAAGAGCTAAAAAGATACACAACCCTTTAGCAAAAGTCAGGCAGCTTAAATTGTACAATATGTAGGGCAGGTAGGGGTGTCTGCAGAGTATGTCAAAAAAGTTAAGATAGTGGCTATGATAGTGCAAACAAAGCTCTGCCCATTTCTATCTGTGACACACATGACCGGACCCTGCAGGCACCCCGATGTAACACAAGGAGTGGTGCAAAACTTTGCTTATGCTAGAAGTATCCAAACTAGGTCTGGTAGGAGATACAATGCACCGAATTTGGGCTTCCTGCCCGAAAAACTCCTTAAAAGAGATGTAATTCATGTCCTACAAATCTCATGTCCTACAATTATCTTTATAAAGTGGACAGAATAGAAAAATACGGTTCACCAACTTCACTTCACCGGTCCACAAGGACAGCGTTGTTGCTCGGATGGTATTGTCTGAAATCTGCTGACCTTTACTGCAGATGGAAGGGTATTAAATTGAGCTAGTATTAAAGCACTACAATATTTCAGCTCCATGAGACGGAAAAAGTAGGAAGCAGAAAGTTCTTAGTAGCCAACCCTGCATACAAATGACAGGAGGTCAAACTCTTATCCATTTATTTATGTATTTATTTATAAATCAAATGTATACGCTGCCCATCTCACTGTCAGTGATTATCAGATTTTTGCAAATCTGAGGCTCAGATAAGCTGCCTGATTGTTCTTCTAATATTTTCAGAACCAGATATGAGACAAAAACAAGGCAAGACCTATAGAACTAGAACTCTCCATCCAGAGTTTTCTTCAATGTGGAATTACATTTGTCTTCTAGAACTGAAGGGGCCAATCTGGCAATCTGAATGAAAGCAAAACTGGCTAAATTCTCCACTAATTTCATTGGGACAAAGTTTAACTGATGAAATTTGACTGTCATTGCGAATCCAGAATGTTGTTTGTGTTGCTTTGGCTTCATATACTGGGTGAAACCCAGACATTCTTGCTGGTAAATTGTGGTTTATGGCTTAACGCTATAGATTTATTGAACTGGAAGGGTAGAATCCTGGCAGCTGGTCCTTCCAACTTCCACTTGAACACATCCAATGAAACAGAACCCTTCATGTCAATGGGCCATCGGTCCCAAAGTAAAAAATGCCACTATAGTTTTGTTTCCAGCAACAAATTGTTGGAAAAACCCTTCTAACAGTAAAAGCATTTCTTAATCTGCCTTTTTGTATCTTAAATCCGTTATTCCACATCCTGCACTCTGGAACAATGAAGAACTTCAGGAGAGCCAGCAATGAGCAGTGGTGAAGGTAGGGCACTAGGAGCAGGAAGACCCAAGTTCTAGTCCGTCTACTTTCTCTCAGTCCAGCCTGTCTCAGAGTTGTGGTGGGGGAAATAGGAGGAAGAAGCTCTATGTACTCTGTCTTAAGCTCCTGAAGAAAAGGTGGGATACAAGCTGAATCAATAAATAAGAAACAAAGAAACAAACAGGGCTTGGCCTTCTTCTGCATGACATTGATCCAAGTATTGAATGTGTACTATCACTTTCCTTCAGGTTACCACACAACACACTGAAGCAGAAACCAAACAATGGGCACAATTTGCACATCCTTCTAAGGTAAAACTTAGTAGGCTCCCTCGTGGTTGAGCAGGTCACACAAATGCAGTCTAAGCTTCATTGCCAGCGGAGGAGGTCAGATGCACCACAAGCCAAGGACGTAGCAGCCTACGCAGGTTGTGGCACGAGGTGTTGCCTCTAGGCTTGGAGGTTTAGCACCCAACTGGTTCTCTCAGCCTCTTTGCTGACTTGCATCTTCTGACAGACGCAGCAAGGGATGAAACACGAGTGAGGCAGAGAGAGAAGGAGGCCAGCTCAGAAGAGAAGTTTTCTTCGAAGGCATCATTCCATCACTTTCCACTGCACTCAAAGATTTATCAGGGAATGACTTGACCTTACTTGGGGCAACTAACCCTAACCCTGCTCTGTCCCAGTTGCCATAACCTTCAGTTCAGGAAATGGGTGACTACTCTTGGAAGCTAACCAGCTAATCTACCATGACTGGGCTGCCCAGAAGATCTTGCATGAGCAAAATCCATTTAGACGGGTCACAGTAGATCAGCTGGGCTGATGGGATCACAGCTGAATGCCAGAGGATACCGCTCGTACACCGAAGATCCTGGGTTTAATGTCTGGCACCTTCATATAAATGTACCTCACACAGAAGACTCCTGTTTGAGACCCTGGAGAATGACTATCTTTACAGTGGCTATCTTCTCCAAGTTGATTGTTCTTCAGCTACACAATGAGACTTAATTCATCACTTTCCTTATTTTTCTTTAAAGCAAAAATGCAGGTGACCACTGGACAGCAGTAAAGACTGAATGTCTTCTATACTTCTTTGCTCCTACCTACTGGCTGCCTGGATTTTTGCAGCCCAGACAGGGTAGTGCTGTTTTTCCCAGCAGACAACAAAGTTGTGGAGTGGACTTACTGACCAAGTCAGACAGCTATCAGACAGCTGCGCTCAGTTGGGGAATTCAGAAGTTATGTGGGCCTGATCTATTAAAAGCTGAGAGAAACACTTCAATGCTACTTGAGTTACGACATTAAATACAAGCATAGTTATTTTTTGTTTGAGCAGAAGCACCAGAATATCTTCTTGATTTTTCAGTTAATGATTAGAAGACCTTTCCCAACAGTCAACTCAGTAAAGTTACTTATTTAATCTTTTGTGTTTGTTTGCTTTTTACAAAATGATGTCAGAGAAATTTAGTGCTATGGTAATCTTTTCAAACAATTTTGTCTCTTACCATCACTACATTGTACCAATAAACGATCACATGGCATGACTCCCAAAACTTGTTATTCTGTCCTCTCCTCCCAGCAGGACAATATTTCCAGGTCTCTCCTTACAGCCTGGCCTGCTAAGGAGACAAGGCTGAAGCCTCACTGAAGTGACTCCCTGGTCTCTGCCAACTGACAATATATAATCACAGAAAAGGCAACAGATAATCCAGACAGAAATGTGTGTCGTTCAACCTCTCTTTCCCTCCTGGTGACAAGAAAGGAGCCGGCAGCCTGGTCCTTGTCAGGTGGTCTCCTAAGCGATCAGCTGCCCCCTTCTAGTCCAACAGTCACCTCTCTTGACACAATGCGACATCAAGTCCCGCTAGCTTGATTAGTGTCACAACAAAACGCCTGCTGTTGTTCTGGTGATGGTGGCAGGAAGGCTCCCTCCAGATGTCTCAGACCTCAGCATCCATGATTCACAACTGGCGGAGCTGTCCGAATGACTTTTTCTGGCGGGACTTCCAGCAAAAAGTCATTTGAGACACTTCCGTATGGAATTGGCATTCTGACGGAAGAGTCAAAGGGCAATTTTCCTAACATTCGCAGCAGTTTGAGAGGGAACCCATTCCCCAGAGAGGTGGTGGATGCCCTTCCTTGTTCAAGCCAAGATAGACAGCTGTCTTTCCGGGTGCTTGATTCGGAGTCTGCAGGGAGACAGAGCCAATGGCCCAAGTGGACCTTTTCATGTCTACGCTTCTATGATAATATTCCAGGGATTAGAAGCTACAGGAAATGCAGATCTGCGGCATGTATTTATCATTTATTCGTGGAAGAGCACTGTGCTTCCTCTAACGTATTTGCAACGCTACAAGGAGGGGAGAACAGGAAGGGCATGTATTGGGCTTTAAGGCATGCAATCCTATGACTGACTGCATAGTTTTTTAAAAAAATCAACCAAAGATCCAGGGGAAAAAATAATTCTGCCTCCCCTCCTGTGTGCATTATTGCCCTTCATTAGTTTGTGTTATTGTCTCCCCGCCCCCCTGCACTCAAATTATGTATGATCTGGTGCCTACCCCACCTATAAAATGTAGAAGGTACACCTTGTCCCCAACACCCAACCAAGCGTGACAAAATGTGCTTTTTCTGAAACAAGGAAAGCATGTTTTCTCCATGCTAGGTTATGGTGTTGTCTTGCTGGTCTTTAATGTCCTTCCAAGAGAAAAAGATGATAAGAAAGCCGTAACTGACTAGTTAACCCTTCTGTCATATGTTTATTTTTTATTACTTTTGATTGTTATGGAGTTTTCAACAGTAGTTGTGTTGCATGCCACCCAGAATCATGCATTTGTGAGTGGGGCAGCTATTTAAACAGACTGTTTTTTGCTGTAATACTGTCATTAAAGAGTTGGTTTCTACTGTAAGTAAAATAAACAAACCTAGAAGAGATATATGCATTCTCTCAAGTTATTTAGGATGGCTTGAATATTCACCATTTTATAGAGGACTAATATATCTACTATAGATTATCTTGATGATTTGTACAACGGCCCCACCAAGGAGGTCAACCTTATTCTTGGTAGCAGATGACACAAATGCGTCTTTATGAGCAGTTATTTGAAAAGAAGCAAGATTGAGAAATGAACTCCCTCTTTATAAGGTCCATACAGATGAGTTAGCAAATATCTCAATAGATAACCAAGCAGCTTTCTTTAAATACATTCTTTATGCTTTCTGTAAGCTGTGAATATTTTGCTGGACAGAAATCCCACTCTTCTTCCCAAGCAAGCGTGTTTAAGGAAAAAACCCTACCTTTGCACCCACAGATTATAGAAAGAGAAAATTGGCTAGACGCGTCTCCTCCAACTGGCAGCCAAAAACATAGGCCCAGACGCCCAAATGTTCAACTTCTATATGCGCCCAGGGGAAACCCTTCTTTGTTAATGGGGCACCTTTTAAAGAAAATTCTGTTCGTACTGATTTCAATATCCCGTGGCAATGAGTTGATTTCTTTGAGAAAAAAGAAGAAAACTCAGTGGGTGGTTTTAAAGGGGTAGCAGAAACTTACCCTCCTTGGGAACTAATCAGAGCTAGGCGGTATTTCTTTAAATCATGCAGTCCAAATTGAGGTCATTGTCTTGGAAAGAAAGGGGAGGTTTCTCCAGCCATTCGTTTATATATTTATTTATTATTTATTTATATAGCAAATTTGTCACCGCCCATCTTGTTAAAAAGTGACTCTGGGCAGTTTACAGAAGAGATAAAATCAATTAAAATACAATATAAACCAATCTTAAATAATTAATAAATTCATTCCAAGGGATGATAAAATTGGCGAACAGCTTGGGGAGTGTCCTCAGGGCACCAGCCACCCCCAGGATCGATTACAACTCTTGTTGCCCCACGCAAGCTGCCAGAGGTCTTAAGTCCTTTCCAGAAAACTGGAAACTTTCCTCTCTTTTGTCTCTGGTCCTTTAAAAACTCAAAATGGCATCCTTAAACTGCATTTTTCCTGCGGTGGGAAAGATAAAGCCTCCTTTTATTTCACTTCCCTTGACTGAGAAAGCAACTTGGGGGAAGCAGTTTCAAAGTGAAGACCGACCAAAGACTAAGGCGTTCGCCCACTTCTTTCTGCCCTCCCCTCCTGGGTCACTGCATCCAATTTACTAAACCATGAACTAACCCCATTTGGTTCAGACGACACAGCTGCCTACAGTGAGACTGGCTAGTTTGTGGCTTGTTCCAGCAAGCAGCAGCAGCAGCCGGGCCCAGAAGCTAAGCAGCATTTAGCCAGGTTATCTCTTGGAAGGGGCACTATCCAGAAATCCCAGGCTGCAAGTTCAAAAAAAAAACACCCTGCCAGAAAGCGACAGGAATCTTTCCCATGCTGTTCCAGAAAATTGCACAGCCACATCCATGAAGTCACCAGGATTTGAGCTTAATTTAAAGGAGATTTGAGAGTTTGCGATTCAGCATGTTGTGAGGAGCCAGCCAAGCGGGTCACTTCAGCAAATCATGGTTCCATAAACCCTACTTGGTGTGGGGGACTGTT